GCTGGTCCTGGGCTTCATCATCGCCTTCGTCCTGGCCTTCTCTGTCGGCGCCAACGATGTGGCCAACTCCTTCGGCACTGCGGTGGGCTCGGGGGTGGTGACCCTCCGACAAGCCTGCATCTTGGCCAGCGTCTTTGAGACGGTGGGCTCTGTCCTCCTGGGAGCCAAAGTCAGCGAGACCATCCGTAAGGGGCTGATCGACGTGGGGATGTACAGCTCCATGCAGCAGCTGCTGATGGCGGGGTCGATCAGCGCCATGTTCGGTGAGGAACGGTGGGGTCAAAATGGGGAGGGGGGCAGCGCGCCCTGGTGATGGTTCCCTCGCCAAGTTTCTCTTCCTCCAGGATCTGCTGTGTGGCAGCTGGTGGCTTCGTTCTTAAAGCTTCCCATTTCTGGTACCCACTGCATTGTTGGCGCAACCATTGGCTTTTCGCTGGTGGCCAAGGGGCAAGAAGGTGTCAGGTGGTCTGAGCTGCTAAAGATCGGTAAGTCCAGCTTGTGAGACCACCTCTGTGCGTGGCCTCCATCAGCACCCTGGGCTTCCCCTTCCAGCCGCAGGATGCTGATCGTGCCTCTTCTCTCCTAGTGTTGTCCTGGTTCATCTCACCCCTTCTTTCGGGCATCATGTCTGCTATCCTGTTTTTCCTTGTCCAGAGGTTCATTCTCCGTAAGGTAAGGGCTGTTCACCCTGTTTTCTGGCACCTTGGGGCTGCGGGTGCTCCCTCGTCTGCCTGTTGGACTGGTTATTGGCTTATGTGCACCAGAGCTTCTCCAGGCACATCTGTTCTTGGGTTGACACTTGGGTGAGCCCTTCAGGAGGAGCTGAGGGGATGGAGAACTAGACCTGTAGCTGTTCCACAGAGTGGAGCCTGGGAGATGAGGAGGCTTTGCTTCACCTTGTCCAAAACATCTGGGCCAGGAGTGTCCTGCCTGGCCTCAGCAGAAACAGCTGCAGTTTCCAAGTAGTGAGGTCACCCAGGACTGATAGGATCAGAGCTTCTTGCCAGGCTTTTCCTAAGTCTTGGTGCAAGGTTGGACCTCATCTTGTGTCAGGCTGCAGGTGAAGGCAGGAGCTGGCAGGAATGATTCTTTTCTAAAGCCAGGAGGGCCAGAATTGTCCCTGGTGCCGTGGAAACTGCGCTTTCCTCCTGTCTGGTGCCCCTGGTAAACCAAGGGGTGCTCGGGCTGGCTCCAGGGACATGCTCCCACTGTCAGAAGCCTCCAAAAGCCCAGGAGGAAGGATTGGGCACCCAGAGGTGCTGGAAATGGAGGCAGCAGCTTTAGACCTCATCTTCCTGACGTGATGACCCTGGAGCACAGGATGCTGTCTGCCCTGAGCAGGGGTCCCCAGCTGGCTGCGCAGAGGAACTCTGGCATTTTCTTCTGCATATTCGAGGTTAACTTAAATTATTTTAGGGCTTGGGTCTAACTATTTCTGGTTTGAGAGATGTTAAGATCTTATCGCTGCTGGTTTCTACCTGGCAGCCCTTTAAAACAATTCAGCGTCACCGCTGTCAGAGTAACCTTGCGTAACTGGCCTTTCAAAGCTGGACTGGCCCCGTCACGCTTCATTCTGGTGCTGAATAGCCCGGTTGCTCTGTCCCGCTCGGCATTTAGTAATGCTCAGCGTGTTTGTACCGGTGCTAGACCCCGATTGCTGGGCAGCACTGGAGATTAAGTTCTCCTGCTGCTTGGGTGAGGGCCTCTCTGTGCAGGTATGTGGTCAAATAAGCTGCTTTGTGAGTAATGGATTTTTTTATTTCGTCCAAGTCAGCTGGAAAGAGGTAAAAGCTTTGACATAATGGTTTTGTCTGAGAGTGCCTGGGCAGTTGAAAGAAAACATCGGTGCAGCTGGAGGCTGGGGAGGTCTGCAGGCTGGGGAGCCTCAGGAGGGGTGCAGGAGCCAGGCAGCCCCCGGCTGCGGGTGCAGATGAGATGCTCCAGCATTGGGAGTGGTGAGACACTTGGCTGGTCCTGCCCTGGGGAGCCTTGTGGGAGTTCTGCCACCCTCTCTGCCCTCTCCCCAGCCCACCACGGGGGTCTGACAGTGGCAGCTCTTCAGACTCCCCCATGGGTTATTCTCTAAAAGCTGTCGGGAGCTCTGGCTTTTGGCAGGGCTGGCAGGAGCGTGGTATTTGAGCTGCTGTCAGCAGCTGACTGAAGACACAAACCCCTTTTTGGGAAGGGGCTGTTGCTTGGCTGCTCCTCGGCTGCTGTACAACCCTCGAGGTCTGGCTTTCTGCAGCACTGATCCTTCTTTTGCAGGCAGATCCCGTTCCCAACGGCTTGCGAGCTTTGCCCATCTTCTATGCCTGTACTGTGGGGATCAACCTCTTCTCTATCATGTATACTGGTGCACCTCGTAAGTATGCGTCAGAATACTTGAACCTTAATTTTTAAATTCTTCACAAAACCTCCATTAAATGCACGATTTACCCCTTTTTTGCTTTACAGGGCTGAAATCTCCTAGAAGGCGGCTGGCCTGTGCCGGTTACAGAAGGCTGCAGGCTAGCGTGCGCTGAGTTCTGGGCTAGATAGTTGCCCAACCAAAGAGACCTGCTCAAACTAAACCCCTCCAGACCTTTCTCCTTAGACTTCACAGGACTTGCAGATAACGTGCCTTCCCCTTCTCTTCTCTTACCTGTGCTAAAACTCAGGTACCCGGCTGCTGCTGAAGAGACTCCTCGGGCTGCCGGTAGCAAGGCTAGGAGCAGGGATGGAGGCTGTGCCTCCTGATTCACCTTGTCCCTAAGGATAAACTAATTATCCCTGGCAAGAAGAGCTGGCACCTGTACTGAGAAGAGGAGTTTGTACTTCAGTTTGAAAAGCCAAATTGAAATGCTTGTTTGGCTGTTGTATAGGGGGACAGGTTGTGGGCAGGACGAGGAGAGGGCTTGGCAGGGGAGAATGGCTTTGCTTGCGGAGCCTCTGGCTCCACAACTTCCATCCGCCGGGGTGACTCGGTGTGAGCTGTTTTCGGTCTGAGCATGGGTTTCCTGTTGTGGAGGAGTCACTGGAGGTGGGGTGAGGGCAGCCGGCGCTGGCTCTGCAGGGTTTTCTCTGTAAACAGTGGCTGGAAAAAATTTATCGGCTTCTCTGCCCCTTGGTTTCCCAGCCGTGGGGAGAAGGCAGCGTTGTTGTGATGCTGCTGGGGGCACGGGGGCTGCAAAGCAGCAGCGGTGCTGCTCTGAGATCACTTTGTCACTTGGCACCCCCAAGGTGGATTCCTGTTTATCCCGAGCGCTCAGCTGCGGGAGGGCTGGATGAGCTCTGTGCCAATTCAGCACGGGGTTTGTAGCCTTCAGCGAGCCAGCCTTGGCGTAAGCAAATAGCCAGGTGCGTGGGTGAAGTAGCTGCGATGTTGCTGGTGGTGCATTAGGAGCAGTAAGTTATTGCCTGCAGCAGAAAATGCAGGAGTTGAGCGGTTGCAAGCGCCTGATACTCCGACTTGGGGCTGCAGCAGGCTGTATAACGCAAAACCTCTGCTAAAAGTCACGCTGCATGTGAGAATGCTTGAAACTAGGTCACATAACACCTCAGATGCCTTGAAACTTGAGCTTAAGTTCCTAGGGACTCGTGGAGCAGGAGAACCATCTTCCCCCAGCAGCTGGAGGAGTTAACAGAGATGCGGGGCTTTCCGGTGGGAGCAGCCCAGGTCCTGCGTGTCCTCTCCCTGACCGCGGGAAGCGGCGCTGTCGCTGCAGCAGCTGTGCTGGGTGGTTTTGGTTTTTTTTTTCTTTGACATTGCAGCAAGTGAGGAGACGAGGGCTGCGAGGAGCATCTTGTCCCTGCTCAGGGCACACGCTGGTCCCTGATCGGGTTTGGTTGTGGGAGGGAGGGGAAAGTGTCTGCACATGTGAAAGATTAGCTTTTGATGGGGGAGATTGTAACCTGGGGGGGGCTTCTGTGTGGGTTAAGCTCTTGGTTTCAGTGTGGTCAGCGGTAGCTTTCTGATGCTGTTTCTCTCTGGCAGGCGAATTAGCTCAGGGATGTTGCAGGTGATGGAGTCCCCATGCTGGGAAGAGCAAAGTCATATGTCGAGGAGGCTTTTGCCCAGAGGTTTTCAAAGATCCGTTGTTTTATTTCCTAGTGCTGGGCTTTGACAAACTTCCTCTGTGGGGTATCCTCCTAATTTCGGCGGGGAGTGCTGTTGTCTGTGCTCTCGTCGTCTGGTTCTTTGTATGTCCGAGAATGAAGAAGAAAATCGAACGTAAGTAACACTTTTCTCTTTGCAATCCTTTGGGGAAGGGCATGCTCGGACTAACCAATTTCTCTTCCCAGCGGGAGATCTCATTAGCTGCAGGGCTGTTATTAGCAGGGATCCTCAGCTTCAGTTATCACTTAAGCTGCTCTGCAAACCCTGAGTCACTGGGGCGCATCTCATTGAGCTGGACCCTGCGTGCTCCTAACCCGCAGCAGCACCAGAAAGCTGCTCCCTGGGACCCCAAAATACCCGTGAAGGAGCTGTTGTGCTGCCAAGCGGTATCTGGCAGCTGATCTCTGAGCAGGCTATCTCTGCCTGCTGTCCTTTGCAGTTCGAGGAATATTAAAACAGCGTGATTTCACTGTTTAATATAGAAAAAGAGGAGGCAGGAGACAACCTGCGTGTTAACCAGTGTAACCTTTAATCCTCTGCATACCTGCTGATCAATTTTTGGCCTGGCAGATGCAGATCACAAGTTTAAAGCTGGTGTAAGCTGATGAAATCCTTTCCCTGTAGCAAAAAAAAAAAATCTATTGAAAGGCATCCAAAAGAGCAGTCCCAAGCTCTGCCTCCTGAAAAGTACAGGCAGCTCTCCTAGAGTCGTGTGTGGTCTTGCATATAAATTTTGTGTGCAGTCTGAGGCACTTAAGGAACTGGAGATGAGGGGATAACCAGTGTCCTTGTCAGACTGGTGTAATTGGGGTGTGACTAACAGCTTTATGGCTGCCCTTGACATTCTTCCAGCTGTTCGAGCTTTGGCTTAACTCCTGCCTGCAAGACAGGCTCCCCTGCCTGCTGAGGCTGCCTGCCTGCCCGAGAGCATTGCTGGGAGGAGGTGGTGATGCAGGGGCAGACAAGTTCTGCAGGGGCTTGATGCCAGGGTGAGGGGCTGGATGTCACAGCCTGGCCCTTGCAGCAAGCAAACTGGCTGGGAAATGATCGTGTTTGTGACAAGGAGGTGGTTTGTGTTGTCTGAAGGAGCTGACCTCATGTTTTCACCTGGAGAAAACATACTTTTCCTGGTAGAGGGGGAGTAACAGCCTCAGCTTCCAGGGCTTGGTGCTGCTGGCTTGGCTCTTCCAGTGGGACAGGAAACCAGGCTGGCCTCGGAGGTGGAGACTGGCTCCTGTTTGGGTTTGTCACCCACCAGTGGGAGCTGGAGAGGAGCCCAGGTGGGCAAGTCCTCCCAGCAGGCTGGAGCTGATGGGCTGGCAGAGGAGCTCTGGGCTTTTCTGGGCACCTTCCCATCGGCTTCAGGGGTCGCAACCAACTGCCCCAGAAGCAGGTCTGGAGCATCCCACGGCTGCTGGGAATGGGGATGGGACAAACGTGGCTCAAAAAGGAACCTCTGCCAGAGAAAGAACAGGCATAAAAGCCCTGTCATGGTGCTCACCACACCCCGTGTGGGTGGGGGGGGCCTAAAAATAGGAGATGAGCTGGCTTGTGACAGTTTGGCTGTTGTGCCTGAGACGAGGTGT